GGCTGCCAACAGACTTTGCATGACTGATTTGGGGTTTGTTTGCCCCCATCTCCTCTGTCTCCAGGCTGGCGCTGGGGATGCCTCGAGATGAAGGGGCTGCAGATTGCATCTCCTAGGGCAGCCAGATCTCAGGATGGGAGCTGTGATGGGAGAATGTGCAGATAGGAGTGATCAGAGGAGCAATAAATGGCTGAGCAGAGGGAAGAGAGAACGATGATGTGCCAAGGAGGTGCTTTCAACCCACTTGTGATGGAGGATGTCCCTGAGCTGCCTGGGGTCTGGCTGGGCTGTGACTGAGGCATGTCCAGGCTTTGTCCCTGTGCCTTACTGGGGAGGGTGTGGATGGCATCTGGGTAACGGGTATGCAGAGCACCAGCTCTCTTACAGAACAGGCTGCCTGCAGCCAGGAGGAGCTGCTGGTCTGATGGGGCATTTTTAGGGTGGTTCTTTTGGCAAGTTGGACACGCTGGTTTGTGCTGACAGATGTCTCTGCTGTGGAGGTAGTGATGAGGACAGGGCAGGATGTATCCCTGCTCAGGGGTTTTGCAGCAGGGTGATGCACATGGCTGTCCCAGTCCCACAGCATTACCTGCTCCACTTGGGGAACCCCTGAGTTCCACTGTCCTTTGGCACCTGTATCCCCTCCCATTCCCTGCTCACAACATTTTGTTTGTGGTGTGTCCTGAGAAATTATTATTCTGATTGATGTCTCCTTTGGGCACAGCCAGGCTGTCTGGGAGCACTGTCACAGGCTGGGGATGGCCATGGGGACAGCACTGCTGTGAGCCCTGCTCTGCTCTGCAGCCCCTTCTGGCCCATGCCCCATCTCCCTTCGCAGCCTCCTCAGCACAAGGGCTGCTCTCCCCTCTCTGGCACTGGGGAACATCCTGGCCCTGAGTCTGCTGTCCCATGAATTGCAGATATCACTTGGCAGCTTTTCTGCTCCCAGCTCCTTCAGGCCTGCTGATTCTGGGTGTCTGGGCTGAGGCTGCCCTTGTGCCATTCCCGGGACAAGGACTCTCCATCTGTCCCCCGCCCCAGGAGATGCCAGCTCTGATTTCATTCCCCTAATGGATGACCGTCTGGCCCCAGCGGCTGCTGCAGGCACCTTGGTCCTGGTTACAGTCAGCTCTGTCACCGCTGACTGATGAGGGTCATTTGCAGGGCTGCTGCCAGCAGGACCCATCCTGACCCCCCTCCCTGGGGCAGCTGGGGGAGCTCACTCTCTCTTCCTCCTGCCGGCCTTCATTGCAGACCCCAGAGAGCTGTTGTCCCCCTGACTGGGAGGCAGCACTGCCCAAGGCTGGGTGCTGCGGAGAGGAAGCAGAGCTGGGGGCTGGTGGACTCTGCTCAGAGCTGAGCTCTGCATAGAAATGATTGTGAGCCACATTTTGTAGGGGCAGCTGGGCTCAGCATCACTGCCTGGATGGACCCAGAGCCATGGCCTGGCAGGGGGAGCTTGGGGACATGCCTCTGGCCTCCGAGGAAAAGGTGATGCTCTGGAAAGGGGATGGAGGCTCTTCTATGGAAAAGAGCATGGTTCTGGGAGCTGCTGAGTCCTTCCCCATGCTCCCTTGGGCCTGCCCTGTCCCTTCTGGCTCATCCCCCTACCCTGGCTGGGGTTTGCCCTCCTGATTCCTAGCCAGGCTATCTGAAAAGGCAGAGGGTCCCCTCACCCAGCTGCCTTCTGCCACCCTAGCCCCTAGGGCAGAGTGCTGAGGCAGATCATCCCTGGGTACCAGCTCTTCCTGACCTTCCAACTGACCCGGTGTTGCCCCACTGGGCTAAGCAGGGGCTGTGGGAGCTGCATAGCTCACCCCATGGCTGCTAGTGCTCTGTTCCCATCCTGGAATGGTGCTGTGCCTGAGTGCTGAGTTTGGGGCACTGGGGAGGTCTCACTGCCATGGGATGCACATCTTCCACCCATCATGATGATACATTTATTGATGGGTTACTGAGAGTGATGGGGGAGTTTCAGCACTGCCTGTTGGTTTGTTATTGTAGGGTCTTTTCTAGCAGGAGGGTGCTGTGGAAGGGGTGGGTTGGTCTCTCCAGCCAGCTGTCAATGGGAGGGTGCTGGTGTCTGTGGCTCTGTGGAGAGGGCAAGGACATGGTTACGCATCAGGTTGACCCCAGCTCCTGCTTTCTCTCTGGGGAGACCACGGAGCAGCCCAGACTTGGGTCCTCACTGGGAAAGGAGGTGTCAGCCCAGCAGCATGTAACCCCCTGACATGGCAACACAGGCTGGATTCAGCCCCTGAGGTCACATCAGCTGCTGGTGGCTCAATACAAAGTGGTCCATGGCCATCCCGGTGGTGGTCACTGCTGGGGTCAGGGATTCACCCATGGTGAGCCCCTTCAGAGACAGTGTCCAACAACCCCCAGGATTGATTTCAACAGCATGTGGAGGTGGGGATGGGAAATCCCTTCTTGTTTTGGTGCTGCCCAAGTATGAAGGCTCAGTCTGTGTGTGTATGTGTTTTGGAGTTGCTGGGCTATGGAGTGATACATGGGAAATGACAAGCCACTTAACACGGCAAACCTCCTGCCGCAGATAAAACACTACCAGCTGTTTCTTTTGGCTTGTTTTGTGCCAGCCACTTGATGGGTCTTGTAGAGGAGTGGAGAGCAGAGTGACATCTGGAAAAGGAGCTGTCACTGGCAGGGACAGGGCTTTGTGCTGCAGTTGTGGCAGTATGTGGCTGGGCTCTGTTCCCCATTTTTGGGCAGAGCTGTTTCCCAACAAGGGGGAGCCCAGGGAGCCCCCAGACTTGCTTGCGGTTTGAATGCTGGGGACAGAAAGGGGATAGTGTGTCCTCCCCAGCAGAACCCTTGGGTGCACCAAAGCCAGGACAGCAAAACCCCAGCCCTGGTCACCCCTCTCCTGTTGTCAAGCTGCATGTGCTGAACGTGCTCCCTCCCTTACCCTGGGGCCCCTGGAATCGGGCCCTCTTTGGTTTCCTCCTCAAGAAAACGCCCATGTTCTTTATTTTTTTTTCTTTTTCCTTCTTTATAACAAACTAAAGTGTAACTTGCACCCGACCTGACCTACTGCACGTGCCTATACCTGCTGCCCCTGTGAGTCCAACCACAGTTTACTCTCTGTTGCATCTCTCTCGCTGTGTGGTTTCCCTCCCACCCTGCTCCCTCCCCTGGGATTGAGTGTTGCTCTGCTGTCCCTTCCCCCTGGGCAAAGGGGCTGCTCCTGCTTCCCAGGTCTGTTCCCCCAGCTCAGCTCTGCCGGATGGACCTGGCCCTAGAGCATCCTTGGAAGAATGAAAGGTGCAATTTCCCTTTCCCTCTGCAAATTAAAGCCCTGGCAAAGTAGCTGGGCCAAAATCATGTTTTATACACAACTGATGCCCATTTCTAGGAAGGAGAAAGCCTTTTTCCTCATCTGCCTGCAAACCCCGGAGCAAACAGGAGCCAGGCTGTGCTGTCCTGCCAGCACCAAGGCCCTGACCCTCACCCTTGCCGCTGTCACCCAGTGACAAATGCCAGGGGGTGCATTTGTGCATCCTTATGTATTTACATGGCATTCTGCTATGGGTGCCGCTTCCCTGGGGACAAGTTTGCCCTCTCTGAGTGGCTTTGTATCATGTCCTGCTGGGACAAGGACCTCCTGGAACTGTTCTCCATTGCTTCAGAGTGATGGAGCTGCCTGCCCCAGCCTGCTGCTTTGACGTGAGCTCAAAGTGTCCCAGGTCCTACCTGTGGGCATTCAGGGACAGACCTGCCTAGCAGGGGCTGCTGGATGCCAACCCACATCCTCATCCTGGAGCTGGGTACAATGCAGCCTCATTTCCCCAGCACCTGGGGCTCAGCTCAGCCTCACAAGGCTGAGAAATCTGCCAGAGAAACTCCATCTGCTAGCCCTCTAGAGAAACAACCCCCAAAACAGGGCTCAGGATGTGTAGGCATTGTGACCTGCTGCTTGCAGATGTCCAGGGCGCTTGGAGCAAATGTGGGGTCAGCGGAGCCCCAAAGGGACTTTGCACCTTTTGTCCCATTGGTGCCCCATGCTGCTCACTGCCTCCTTTTGGAGGCTGGAGTCCAGCACAGCCTTCATTGCCTCCTCCTCCTCCCCTCCCTGCCTGCAGCATTAGTCCTGTGCTGTTTGCTGGCCTGAGGCACTGCGAGGCCCTGTGGGAAGGGAGGGAGCGGGTCTGCGGCCATGGGGCAGAACCAGCTGGGAGAGATGGGGCCAAGCAAAGCCACTGGGGTCTGGATGGGTGAATAGGGGGTGGTGGGGCGGTCTGTACAGTGAGGAGACCTGCTATTAATGCAGGACCACTTGGAAGCAATGGCTGTGGGCCAGGCTGATGCTGGGAGCCCCTCACCCTGCCTGGCTGAGGCAAAGCCCTGAGCCCTGTTTCCCTTCTGGCTGTCCCAAAGCAGGTCCCCAGTCTCGGATCCCAATGCCATGCTGGGGCGGGGGTGCATGCTGCAGTCTGGGCTGCATGGCTGGGTTTGGTGCATGTTTTGCGTTCAGCTGTCGGGTGTCAACAGGATCAAACCTGGCCCTGAGCTCTGGGGAGGATGCAGTGCCCTGGCTTGGCCACAGGCTGTTTCTTGGTTTCCATCCTGCTCTCCCCTCTCTGCACAGCCCCACGGGGAGGGGAGGGTCCCCAGGGAGTGGGTATTTGGCCTTGAGTCTAAAGGGCAGAGACCATGCCCACCAACTCTGGGCGACTGGGTGTCTCCAGTGCACACCAGAATGCTCCAGTGGGGGAGTGCAGAGGTGCAGGGTTGCCCCTTTGCCATCTCCATCTTTTCCAAGGAGGGAAACTCCAGTGCCAGGTTTGTCCTGGGATGAAGCTGAAAGGCCAAGCAGAGCCTGGGCTGGGCTTTGCCTTCCTGCTCCTCTGGCCTCACACTGCATGTGCTGCCTTCAGCCCCGCTTGCCCCACGCCGGGTGCCCTTACCCTGCTGTCTGCCGGGTCTGGGGGCCGCTGCTCTGTTAACTCTTCTTCTGCTTGGTGACTCCTTCTTTCTTCCAGGCAACCCGCCGGGCCAAACTAAAAAAGCGCTGAAGCAGCGATTCCTCAAACTGCTGCCCTGCTGCCGGCCCAAATCCATCCCCTCGCTCAGCGAAAGCAAGTGCTTCTTCTTGCCTTTGTGTGTGTGTGTCCCCGGCGGTGCTGCTGCCTGCCCTCCGGCCTGGCCCTGCCCATAGGAAGGGGATGCCTGCCTGGGTTTGGGGCTGTCAGGATCAGTCCTGCCCTGGAGGGGTCCGATCCAACGGGCTCTGAACCCATCTCTGTCCTCACCTGCTTCCAGGCTGGTTTTCCCCCTCTCCAGCTCCCCGGAGCGGCTCCCACAGGATGCACAGCGGCGAGACCCGCTTTGGAGCTGGCTCGGGGCAGCAGGACCCTCCCGGTGCTGGTTTAAGGGCTGGGAGACTGTTGCTCAAAGCTCAGTGTCGGTTTGGAGATGGAGGTGCAATGGGGGGGCGAAAGGGGCTGGCTGATCAGGGAGTGAGCTCAGAGCTGCCCAGAGCCCCCTACCCTCCCTGCACTGAGTGTGTTTGGCTCCTTGGTGAGCCCAAGCCCCTGGCTGGGGTCTGTCCCTGCCCTGTGGTGTGAGTTGATCCCCCTTGGGAGTAGAGGTGAGTATGGAGGGGCAGGGGCTGATCTGCCCCACAGAGGGTTGCAGTAGGGTCTGAGGGTGCTGGCTGCTGCAGGCAGGGGTTGTGCATTTTGCCAGATGGTGGGGAGAATCCATCGACAAAGCGGGGTTATAGCAGGCAGGACAGGGTCTAGACAAGGCCAGGGGGGCACCTGGGGCTGGGGGTTCTTGCGGGGGCAGCTCTCCTGCAGGACAGGAGCCCCGGTGCAACACAGACATGCGGGACGTCCAGGGTCTCAGCTCCACAGGGCTGATGTCTGTGCAGGGGGGAGAAGAAGGGCAGGCAGGGTGTGTCTCGGCACTGGGGGAGTTTCACACCCCTTTTCTGCCCAGCCTGGGCTGTACTGGAGGTGGAGGGGGGCTGTTGCTCAGTGTCAGACACTGGTCTGCCCCCAGGGTGTCTCTGAGTGTCCCCCGCTGGCATAGACCTGACTCTGGCTGAGCAGGGTACCCCAAAAATGTGTCACCCTGGGCAGGTGTGAGAGGACAGAGTGTGCTGTGCAAGGTGCCTCTCCTGCCCCCTGGCATGGCAGGGCAGGACAGTGCTGGCCTCAGCTGCCCTCTCTTCCCCTGGGTTCCTTGCAGACAGCGTTGAGGATGAGTTTGAGCTCTCCACCGTCTGCCACCGCCCCGAGGGGCTGGAGCAGCTCCAGGAGCAGACCAAGTTCACCCGCAAAGAGCTGCAGGTCCTGTACCGAGGCTTCAAGAATGTGAGTACCCCTTGACCAGCTTTGCTAGCCCTCTCTCCACTTCCATGTCAGCCTCAGAGGGTGCTTTGCACCCAGCAGTGCCTAGACTTTGCAAAGGCTTTTGGGACCTTGGTGTTGAAGTTTATATCAGGATACAGCCTGATCTCACCTCCAGGGAGCTCAGTGGGGAGCCCTAATCCTGTGCTCCATCCCTTGGGTGCAGAGAGCCCCCTCCCTGAGTGCCTGGGATGCAGAGCCCCTCTAGCAAGGGGTGCAGCCCACAAAATCAGGGAGATGCTCCAAGCAGCCTTACAAGCCACCCCACCAGGCAGTACAGAGCCAAGGGGCAAGGCAAGGGAGCCACAGGGATTTAGGGGATGGTCAGCCCCTCTCTGCAATGTGGAGGTGACACTGTGGTTTGGCCTGGCAGGAGTGCCCGAGTGGCATCGTCAATGAAGAAAACTTCAAGCAGATCTACTCTCAGTTCTTCCCACAGGGAGGTGAGTGCCCATCCCCATGCCCTGCACGGGTGCCTCTGTGGGGTGGAGGGGTCACACAGCACACCCTCACACTGTGCGCCTTCCCCCAGACTCCAGCACCTACGCCACCTTCCTCTTCAATGCCTTTGACACCGACCACGATGGCTCCGTCAGCTTCGAGGTGAGCTGTGTCTGAGGGGGAGAAGGCAGTGGGGCAGGGAGGGCACATCCCTTTGGGTACTGCAGGCTGGGATGAGCAGCATTGCTGTTGCAGATAGATGGAGAGCTTCACAGGGGCTGGTGGAGTTTATTAAATTCCCGGAGGTAGTGGAAAAACTGAAAAATAACAATAAAGGGAGCTTTCTGTATTTTCTGACTAGTATCCTGTAGGTACCCCTGACTGGCAAGCACAGCCATGGCATGGTCCTGATGCATGTTGTGCTCTTGGGTGCTGTGACCCAAGGGATCAGTGTGGGATATATTTGGGGATGAGCAATTGATTTCTTCCAGGCTCTTTTTTATACTCAGAATTCCTCTTGTCAGCCCAGCCCCAGGGCACAGGGCACATCTGCGTTCCACCACCCCCCCTCTCCACCATGGGAGGGACAAGCAGGGTTGTGTCCTCTGTGTCCGTAAGACCCTCTGAGGCTGTAACTCCAATCTGTCTGCCTTGTCCATCCTTGCAGGACTTTGTGTCTGGGCTGTCCATCATCCTGCGGGGCACCATTGACGATCGCCTGAACTGGGCCTTCAACCTCTATGACCTAAACAAAGATGGCTGCATCACCAAAGAGGTGGGATGGGGGGGTTCAGTCTGGTCCCCGGGGCTGGCGCAGGCCTGCACCCAGCAGGGACAAGGGCAGAACTCAGTAGCATTGCCTGAGCTCTGGAGGAGAGCTGCAGGGAGGTCAATATTTACTCAAGTCAGCTTTGCAAAGAGGTCCCTCCTGGGCCCCTGGCACTGGTGTGTCTCTGGGGTGGAGGGTGGATGAGGGCTGTACTGCTTTGGGGCTCCATCACACATGCAGGCACAAACATGGCCCCACACTGCACAGAGATGGCAGGAACACACCTGAGCACACCACAGGTCCTTCAGGAGCATCACAAAAAAGGTGCAAATTGGGGACCAGGCGGAGGCAGAGCCCTCTGTTGCCCATGCAACCCTGCTCCCCTTCCCTCCAGGAAATGCTGGACATCATGAAGTCCATCTATGACATGATGGGCAAATACACCTACCCGGCCATGCGGGAGGAAGCGCCCCGGGAGCACGTGGAGAACTTCTTCCAGGTGAGCCAAGCATATCCTGGGGAAGCAGAGCTCCAGCACAGAGCCAGTGGCTGCACAAAAGCTGGAAGGGGGCAGAAGAAAACACCCCACGCTGGGGATGAAGTAGGGCTGTGCTGGAGCCAGGGAGATAAAAGGCTGTCCTGGTCCTGCCGTGCATTTGAGGGTGTCTTGGGCAGGGGTGTGCTGTGTCCAATCCCTGCAGGACCTGGGCAGGGGGTGCTGGGCTCTCCCTGGGGCTGGGGCTGTCCCTGCCATGCCCCCCATGTTGTGCTTGTCTGCAGAAAATGGACCGAAACAAGGATGGTGTGGTGACAATCGAGGAGTTCCTGGAGTCCTGCCAGAAGGTAAAGTCACCAGCAGCTCTGCTCTGGGGCTGGGCCACCTCCCTGTGGCCTCTGTTTCCCCATCATCCTCCTGGCAGAGAGGGGGTGAAGGCAGGGCTCCCAGGGGCAAGGCTGGAGCTCTGCCTTGGGAACTGTATCCGTGCTGGCATCCCTGTGCAGATGAGGAGAGATGTGCATCCCAGTAGGTCTTAGAAACTGCCTGTAATCCCTGGGGCTTTTGTCCCATAGGTCAGAGCTGCCATGAGGGTAAAGTCAGGTTTGGGGGGAGCTGTCCAGATTGCTATTCTGTGCCGCACCCACCCACTTCCCACCTTCTCCCTGCAGGATGAGAACATCATGCGGTCCATGCAGCTCTTTGACAATGTGATTTAGCTCCCGGACCTGCCTCCAGCTGAGCTCTCTTGCCACCAGGCCCAGAACCTGCTTCTCTCGACTTTTCCTTCGAGCCTCCCCTCTGCCGGCTGCACAGACACCCCCACGGGAAGGGACCTCCCTTCCCAGAGAGGCGGTCGGCGCCGGGATCTTCCCTTCCACCTGGGCTGGCTCTGCTTTACTTGGGGGATCCCAAGCAGGTGCCTCTGGACGTCAGAGCATGGGCACAGCTGGCACGGGGAGAGCATTTGGCCTGGATGGACCTCCCTGCACCCGTTCCTGGCAGGGAAGCCGCAGCTTTGGGCTGTGGTAGAGGTTTCCCCTGTGCACAGCACCCCATGTAGCCACGGCTCTCCCAGCCCTAACCCTCCCCAGCCCTGGGAGCCCCCAGCACCGGTTGCAGCCCAAACCCCCCAGCGATGCTGTCTAGAAACCAATAAAGTCTTGCAATGGGCGCCAGTGCCTCGGCTTCCTCCCCTGCCCCGGCCATGCCCTGCTGCAGAGAGTGTGTCTGGCATGTTGGCTGTGAGCCGCCAGCCACCCTCCTTGCCCAGTCCCTGGGCCAGTGGGTGGGCAGAGGGGCCATGCCTGAAGAAGGCAGCTGCACAGGCGCTGGGGATTCATCACTGCATGAGCTGTGGGGAGCAGTCCCTGATCCTAGGGGGCCCAGTTAGACCAAGGAGGCTCATCCTGACATGGGAAGAGGGGAGACTAAAGGGACCCCAAGGTGCCTTCTTGTGGCACTGATCTCCCAGGATGGAGGATGCTGTGCTGGAAGAGCTGCAACCTCAGCCCCTGTCCCTTGAGTTTGGGATGCTGGCACACAGGGATCCTCAAGGACCCACTTTGAGGTTCCAGTGGAGAGACACCATTCAAAACCCTCTCTGAGGACGTGGCAGCCAGGGTACAGAGACACATGGAGGAAGGAAGTGTGCTGAGCTCCGGCGGCCACCCTGGCCCTTGGGCCTCACAGCCACACTCCTGGCATCGTTTGCTGCTGATCTTCCCCTTCTCCCATACCCTGGCCTGTCCCAGCCCATCTGTTGTCCCTGCAATGGGGCAGAGAGGTGTCCCCTGTGCTGGGAGGCACAGCTGAGCTGGCAGCTCCTTGGGGAGAAAGTTGAGCCTGGCCAGAAGTTGTTGCTGTGCTGACAGTGAGCTGGAGGGTCACCTTGGGGCAGGGCAGGCTCAGCCCTTTCTCCTGGCATGGCCATGTGAGAGCCTTCCTGGGGATCCCAGGGATGGAGCCAGCTATCACAGCTCCTCAGAGCTGGGCGTGTGCAGGCAGGCCTGTCCTGCCCACATATCCTTCTGAGATGTAGCTGGGACTGTGATGCCCATGGGCTAATGACCCCATGTCAACCCCAGAAGCCCCTCTGTGCAATCCCACAAGCATTGGGAACATACCCACCACCTGCAGCTGCTCCAGCCTCTGCATCCTTAGCAGTAAAGGGCAATTGGGGCGGGCCAGAGCTGCGGTGTCTGGGATCAGTGGGGAAGGGGCGAGCAAGGCCAGTACCATGCTGGACTAGGCCCCAGACCCAAGCTGAGCCCCTTGTGTGGAAGCCGTGAGAAATCCCCCCTGAGGGCCCTGAGCCAAAGCTACAGGACTGCTCCCCAGTGGGACCATCCCCAGCCCAGCCCTTGCAGACATGATGTGTTTTTAAGGCTCATTCAACACACTGTTCATCTCACAGTCCTGTTCCTGGGTTTGCTGTGGGGCTGAGCTCCCACTTGCAGTCTCCCAAGAGTGGGAGGGCGGGTATCCTGACCCTTACCCCTCCTGTCTTCTTCTCCCTGTCCTCCCTCCTCCCAGGCTCTTGGGGGTACCCACTGACCCCGAGCAGATGCCGCTGCCACCCTCACGCTGCAGGTCGCATGGCGTGACCCCCTGCTCCAGGGCATGGTGACCCACAACCCGCTTGGCATCTCCAGTCTGTATATTTTGTATTATAACAATAATATGGGTTAAAAAAAACAAAAACAAAACAATAAAAACTAACCACAATCGCTATGCACACCACTGTTATGTCTTTACATCTGCCAGCTCTTGGGGGGG